GGGGGGAGGCTTTAAAATTAGTGTATAAATGAACAAATTAATGAATATGGACTTGAAGGGTTTCGGAGCTGCCCGGGCTGTATCGATCCGGGGGGAAAAGGCGTTATTCTAGAGGGAAAAGTCCAACCGACGCCGATGTACAACGCCTCCGGATTTGGGTACCGGTGTAATGCTGTGCAGATGCTGTTACATCAGCCGCCGGCATGGCAGGGACGAGTGCCGGAGAGCCAGGGCAATGCCCTGTCCGCTTGAGGAAAGCGACAGAAAATTGCTTTCTGTGCGGAATGGAAATGCGGTTGAGAACACAAAGGGAGTCCGCTTTTACGCGTCCAAAGAGCGCTCTGGAGGGAGGCGAGAGCCCCGCGTTATCTCCGCAAAAGCGGTTTGATGTTTGCTGTAGCTAAAGTGTTACTCATTTATTCTCTCTCCCTAATTCAGTAATGCTTCAGAGCAGAGCGCGGCAGCCCAGGCATGCCGAGGGCTTGCAATAAAATCTTGCAGTTTGGGTGCAGCTGCGGGAAACGGCGTTTTTGGGGGTGATGCTCTAAGCCATTTTAGGGTTTGGAGACAGGAGGGAGCCCATTTCCCAACCTGGACTGCTTCTTGCACAAGGTCTTCATGCAATGGGGTTCATTCCTCCCCCAGTCCGTGGGTTTTGTTATTAAGCCAGTTATTCGTTAAGCACTGGGGCAAGCAGCCAGCTTCAGGGGAGCCAGCGCTGGGTCGCTCCAGGAGGACGTTGATCTCCCCACGCAGATCACGGGGCTGCAAAAGGGCCGAGCTGCCCCTGGGGCTGTATTTCTCAGCAGGGCAAGACCCCCCGGCACGGGGACGCTCCGGGTGACCCGTGTCCCCAGATCCCCCCGCCTGGCCCACGCACCGAGGCAATACTGCTGCCATCACCACTGGGACACGCTCCCAGGAAATCATCCAGGACAGCTTCAGGGAAAACCTTGGCACCACAAGGCTGTAAATAAATTGTTTATTTTCAAAGTCTGCCCCAGAGGTTTAAGGACCAACACAAGAGCATGCGTGATCCAGCTCGAGACCAAGTTGCTCCAGCTGTGCCTCAGTTTCCCCATTGATGATACTGACTCAGCGCTTTCCAGGGAAGGAGTTGGCTAAAGGCTGTGATGGACTTTGAATATATGAATCCCAACAGGCAGTTTAAACATCCACGTGGCTGTTTTCATGCCCAGCATTAGGCTTCGCTTTTGTGCCTCATGATCAGGTTGGATCAGTGGTTTGATTTCGGGGTCCCTGGGACCCCCAGGCCAGCATTCGCTCCCAGGCACGCCAGCTGCGAAGCACGGAGAGCTCTAGGGCACAGGCTCAGAAAATTTTTCTGGCCCAGAAGGGAAAGACAGAAAGACTAAAAATTGTGTCCTTCAGATCTGAAAAGTCACTTTTGTTTTAGTGAAGCCGGTATAATTGCTCAGGTTCCTCCTCAAATCCTTCCTGAGACATGTATCCCTGCACCCTAACTCCCTCTAGTAATCTACAGAGCAATAAGAGTATATTGATATAGAGAGTATATTTTATAACAGAGTATATTCTTCCCAGCGGGTACAGGATGGCTTTGTACCCCACCGAGCCTGAGCAGGCTAATTGCTTTAATTAATGATAGAGCAGAGGTGAACGAACACTTCCTAGGCCCTTTGTGCAGCAACACCACTCACACCCACGTTTGGGGCTGCTTTTTAGAGGATCAGCTCATTAAGCAGATAGCAGCGAGGGCGCGAAGCTGCGCCCATAGCAGTGGGGGATGAATCGGGGCTTCGCTGGTTCGGCGGGGACCAGCCTCCCGCCTGCAGGAACTGCAGCCTCCAGCAGAACGTGACTTGCTCTGCTCTTCATCCCAAAGCCAGATCCACTTTGCCTTAGTGATGCAGCGGGAGCAGCGCCGGTGGGACAGAGCAGCCGGGGGGATTGGTGGAGCATCCAGTCTGGTTTCCCAGGACGAAGCCTGTCCTGGGTGTGTTGAAGAGAGGGGGATAAATTTCATTTGTATTGATCAAGAATCAGTTGTTTTAAAAGCAAGCAGACGACAAGATTTGGATAGATTTTCTCTTTGATTTTCCTCTAATTAGAGCCTCTGAGTTGACTGCGACTCTCCTTACAGTTTACTTTTGAGGAAGGTTTCTGTGTTTTCCTTTTTTGTTTTTTTAAAATCTGTGTCCCTGGGCTCCATGTTACAGCTGGCAACAGGCTTTTGTTATCTGCTGGTTGTGTGTGCCGTTGGGAAATTGCCTTTCATGTCACATTTTGTACTTGACAGAAACACCTGGAAGCCAGCAAAGGCTGCGGAGCTGCCTCGGGACACTGCCAGCCCTGGCGGGACGTCCCAGATGGGTGCTGGCTAATGCTGGGGGATGATGGGGCACCCCAATGCCCAGCCAGTGAGGGTTAATGCTGCTGCCAGATTCCCTCTGGGGATGTGACATCCCAGTGGCTTCAGGAGTTTGGTCAATGGTGAGAAAGTCACCCAGCAGCCCCTTCCCCACCACCCTGCACCGGAGCATGCATCAATTTTTCCTCCCGGGTAAGAAGGCTGCGCTCAATCCCAGCACAGCAGAAATGCAGACTTGAGATCTCTTATAGTGCTACAGGGCCTGATCCTGCACCGCTGAGAGTTTTGCTTAATTCCCCCTCTGTTGAGGAGGTCTCGCTGCAGAGGAGGGAGCAGGCACGACCCGTGCTCAGGCTCTGCCCTCCTACTCCTCCCGCGCTGCATTTTCCCGGCTGCGTTGCTCAGTGCCAGGTTTGGAATTCGGGCCGCGTCCGCCCGGCGCAGGCAGCTGCTGCCACCTATGGATAAAAAACATCCAAAATGTTCACCCCAGACACTGTATTAGGGGCATCCTCAGCCCTCTGCCCAGAGCCTTTGCAGCCACACTGAGGTAAAAGCAAGAGTGGCTGCAAAACCAAACCCATGTTGACGACCGACACAGACGCCTGGGCACCTTCCTCTGCCTGCACAGGTTTAAACTGGAAAAGGGGATGTCCTGGACATGCCAGGGGTGATTTTCCTTAAGCACAACATAAGCAGCGTATTTTACCTGTTGGCTGGAAATTGTGCTCTGCCTTTCTGGGATATCTGCAGCAAAGAGACCCAAGTGCCACCTTGGCAGGAGAATAAACCAAAATCAGATTGGGGCATGCACCGCTGTCCCCGGGGTGATGGAGGCAGCTCTGCTCTCCTCATCTGCAGTTTGTGCCAAGGGGTGCAGGCATCCAGGGCTGATTTCCCAAAAATTCCCCCCAGAATTCTGACTCTGATCTAAAAAAATGCAAATTGTGGAGAGAATTAGGTAGAAAGTCACAAACTGCCTCATTTGCCTATGCAAAAGGGGTGTCTCCAATTTGGAAAAAGCAGTGAAGAGAGACTACCGCTGCTTGCTGTAATCCAGAAGCTTTAGGTGAACTTGGTCCCACGAGTTCCTGACTTTTGGCCCATCTATTCCTCTGGGCAAACTGGAAAATCGTCTTGCAGAACCCAGCAGCGGTGCTGAGCAGGATCCATCTCTCTATAGAAAACTCTGAGACCAGCATCTCCTTTGTGGAATCGCGGGAGATTGCACTGCCATTCAGTGAATTCAAAACAAATGCAAACAAAGTCCTCGCCAGTATAAATCC